CCCCAAAACCCCAAAACCCCAAAACCCCAAAACCCCGTTTTAAATTCGTCATATTGAAGCTAACCTAAGCTGTAAACATAATGGTGAGGCCGTCCTCTCTTTGATTCAAAATCTTAAATTTTAGGCAATGAGAATGATTGTATACTTGAAGCAAATTCAATACCATTAAAATTTATTCACAGAACTCCTTGGGAGTCAATAAAATTTATTTGAAACAAGGGTTTCCAAATTATTCTTACTATCATCTTTTATTCAAATGTTGCCTTTTCTTTTGATAGACTCGTTTGGCTTTGTCAACTCTTTGAGATTTCAAATCTGGCCAAGTACCATGAAGGACAACTGCTAAGCCAACTCAGATTACACTGAATGCCAAGTTATATGATTTGTCTAAACTTTGGCTTTCTCACATCCCATAAGTTTGATAATCTTTTTGTTAGATTTTGCTTATAATAAGCATAAGAAGAGCTCAGTAGTCTTGAACTAGTTAAAAATAACATTCAGAGGTCTCTGAGAATTCATAGCAGCATCCTAGTTGTAAGTGAGCTTTTTAGGAAGATTTTATTGAAATCTTTTACTCTAGATGTTTTGCAAACTTTGACAATCATAAAAACCTTATCAACTCTTTTATTAAGTCTATTTTTAGCTAGAAAGCAATCTGGCATTCCAGAAGGCTAAAGGCAAGCTTTGGTGAAACACAAATCCTTGTATATAGAAAAATTAGAGATTTCATATAAGTTAGCTATCATTTTGGAAGATTGTTCCATGAATTTTCTTTCTCTCAAAAGCTGCATGAGATGAGTTATGACATAAAACTGATGCCTGCTTTATTTCTGAATATTTATGCCCTCTCTATAAACTTCTCTTGGCTTACTTTAGATAATGATTTGTCCAGATTTTTCGGTCAGAGTCCTTTAAGTTTTCCATATTTGAAATTTTGAATAATTTCAGGAAAAGTATATAAAGAGTCTAGTTTTATCATCAAATTAAGGACTTGAGAGCGATTCATTGAAATTAAGACTTTCAGAATTCTTCATCAAGAGCCAAATTGAGAATTATGACCTCTTAGAGCCTCAACCTTATAGGGTAGACGCAACCGACCAAATGGAAATAATAGCATCATTTATAGTGATTTACAGCATGTTTTAGAATTCCTTGTAACATATTTAAATGAAACTGTAATAATTGATGAACGAGAAGAAGATGTTATCTCAAGATTACTCTTATAAACTTCAGAAATATTGTTCTCTCAGTCTTTCTTCTATTTTCTTCAAATTCAGAAGACTCACAAGGTGCCGAATTGACTATAGTTACAGCAGAGCTGAATAAATTTTAGTTAAAGAAGAGGTTATAATTTACCACTAAGGCCCTGAGTTCTTCCAGAGATTTGAGTACATATTTATTTGGTTGTCACCCCTAATTATTCTTCTTTAAGCAAGCTCTGATTCAGGCTTGGCTTGGACAAATGAGCGAATGAATAGTTTAAGGTCCACCATATTATGTAAAAACCATGGATGATCCTACTGTTAAGTCTTTTCATAAAATTTAAAGCTTAATCCTCGCCAAAATTTAGTACTTTATAGCTTATTTAGCAAAAATAAAAATTCCTGGTCAAGTTTGATCAATTTTTGAGCGGGTTTCTGAAGTCGCAATGAAAGAGCGATAAGTATTTAAGTTTGGAAGAAAAGATGTTAATAATATATTTTTATGAATTTCTCAAATTTCTCCACAAAGCCAGAATGGAATGCTACTCCTTCCTGGGATTGCACAGAACTTATCTGTCAACTAGCACAGACTTACTGATTCTGTCCTTCATTACAGCAAGCAACACAAGGCCTCAATGGATTTTGAGGGTGGGAAGACTTGAAGAGTTTCTCATATCCTAACATTGCCAAGTTTTCATTAGAAACTAAGTAAGTAATTCCTACTATCAGCTTATCACCAAAATGTTAATATCTCCTTTTTGAAGCTGTTGTTGACTCTTTATTTATAGCGCCTTAATGCAACAGGAACAGGAAAACTCAAAGGCATGCGATAAAGCTTCAGAGAGCCTGAAAGCCGAGGAAACTAAAAGCAATTCTCCTGAGCAAACCAGCCTTCCAAAAAATAGTGGAAACCCAAGCAGCAGCGAAGAAGCCCAGGAAACAATCAAGAAGAGGAGGAGACGTTCCTCAAAGCTAGAGATAAGGTCCAAGCTTATTAAAATCAAGAGCCAGATTCTTAAGAGAGGGATTTCTTCTTTTTATAGTTCATCGAAACAGCAGAGAGGAAGCGCTCCTAATAATAGTAGCAGAAGATCCAGATACATTGGAATCTCTAAAAATAACACTCATTGGCAAGCTTTGATCAATATCGGAAGGACCAAGAAGTACATTGACATCTTTGTGTCTGAACAAGAGGCTGCCAGGACTTATGACTTGTATGCTATTGCCATCAAAGGTGTTAAAGCCGGCCTAAACTTTAATTATACTGCTGCTGAGATGATAGATGGAATCGATCACTATCTCCAGCACGGAAAAGTGATGATTTCTTCATAAAATAATTTTGTGATAAAAGCGATTAATTCCATCATTTATCTTCAAAGATATCTTCCAAATTGCAAACTTGACTGATTGATTATCTTCAATAAGAATCTTCTAGGCACATATCCCAATTTTAAGCAATCTCAATCTCTTCTCTCTACACAATAAGTAGACAACCCCAGAATCTTACCAAACCCTTCTATCCCCACTCCTAAAGTTATTAACCCCTTCCTTCCCTCAAATTCCCCTATTTCTCCTTTCCAAACCCCAAAAATCCCTTCATTATTCCTTAAAATTACCAAAATTCCACTTAAAACTTCTCAAAATCCTATTATCTTTCATTTTACTTCATCTTTAAGTTTCTGCTAAAATTTCAGCTTTCAGGGGTTATCACGGGGTTTTGGGGTTTTGGGGTTTTGGGG